ACACACACACACACACACACACACACACACACACGGGATTTGGGCCCCTGGGAGGGCAAGTCCTCTCATGGGAGCAGTCCTCTGATGGTGCCCCAGCTCCCACAGCTCCCCCTACTGGCAGCAAGCTGGGCACCGGCACCTCTGGAGGTGCAGCTTGTGAGGGTGCCCCGCCAGGGCCAGGGCAGGCTCTGCATGGCTGTGGGTTGGGATCCGTGAACAGGCTTCGGTGTGGGGTCCTAATTCCACCAGGAAGCCACGTGGGGGAATCGTGGACGGCCACACACACACACGCAACAATGGGGACCCAGTGACCCTGCGTTTGCTGTGGCCTCCCCCCGAGACTCAGGGTCACCCCTGGGCTCCAGCGAGAGCCGCGGCCTCTGCCCACGATGTGCGGGGAAGGCACAGAGCACGCCGGGCATGGCTCACGTGGGAGCAGCCCTGGCCCCGCCCACGGAGGACGCATCTCGTTTTCCAACAACCTGGGCCCGTCCCCACGTCCCAGCCCTGCTCCGACGCACGCACGCACACACACACGTGGTAAGGATGCAGCCCTCTCACGCCCGGAGCTGGAAAAGCCTTTAATTGGGTCTTCGCTTGGAGAACACGGGGATGGCCAAGACCCGCCCCCGCCAAGGCGCGCCCGGGCCCGGGGGAGCGGCTGCTACGAAACACCCACATGGCTCTGGTAGCTTCTTCCCACGGTCAGGTAGAAAACGGTGACATGACGTGTGTGCGTATATATACGTCTCTATAGATGTATGTATATAAAACCACGGCCTTCCCTTCCTCACCCGGCCCGAGGGGCACACCGCGGGCCGGGGGCCCTCTCACCCATCACCGGCAAACGCGGGGCGTGCCGTTGGGGGGCCCGTGGGCCAAGGAGGGGGGCCCCCAGGACAGTGGCAATGAGAGAGCCGGACCCCTCGGACTGCGTGTCCAGTATATGCATATATATATATATATATGTGCGCGTATACATGTGTGTGTGTGTGTGTGTGGGTGTGTGCAAGGTAGAAAACACCAGTGTATCCCGTCCGAACTAAGCAGGTTACATAAATCAGGTTTGGTGACCGGTTAACACTTTGTTTTTTTTTTTAAAAAGGAACATCGAAGATATTCAAAAAATTGCTACAGTACAAAAAAGTGTGTGTGTGTGTGCGCGTGTGTGTTTATATAGTTATATACACCGACATTCCCCAGAAACACGGCTCTCCGGAAGGGATGCCCACGCCAGCGTCCTGCGAGGCGCCCACGCGGGCGGGCGGGCGGGCGGGCGCTGTGGCTCGGTGTCCGCCAGGCCCCCGGGCCCCACATGGCACATATTGGTATTGTTGGCACAGTCAGCGTCGTGGCAGCGCCCGCGTCCCGGGGGCGTCCCGCCTCCGCGCTGGGCCGGCTGCCCGGCCTCCGGTCCGCCCGGCGTCTCCGCCCTCGGCCTCCGGGTGGCGGCAGGGCAGCCCGTGGGCGCGAGCTTCTCTATAAAAATATATTTGGCCTCTAGCGTCCGTCCTGCTGGAGTCCCGCCGGCAGGGCCGCGGGGCGCGGGGCCTCCGGCAGACAGTCCGGTTTTAGGGTTGGAAGTGGGATTGAGTTTTGTACAGGTTCACCCACGGGATCCTGTGCGGGAAGAAGACAAGACAAGAGGTTACGTCCCTGTGCTTCCCGCTGACGGCCACCCGCGTCCTCAGGAAGGAGGGTGCCCGCGGGCCCGGACACACCCAGAACCCCAGGTGGGAAGGGGCCGGGCCCACAGAGAAGCCGGATCAGCTCCCGGCAGGAGGGTCAGGGCTCCTCATGGTCACTGCGCTGGCCGGGGACTAAGGCGCCCCGGGCACGCTCAGGCCTCCTCCAGCTCCTCCCCTCCTCCAGCTCCTCCCCTCCTTCGGCTCATCCCCTCCAGGGCTGAGTGCGTGGCCCCGTCCTCGCCTGAGGGGCACCGGAGTCCCGTGGTCTGCTGCTCTGCTGGCCCCCTCGGAGAGGTTTTGGGGAGCAGCGGAAACACCCGCTGGGCCCCCAGGGGTGACCTTGCTGGGGAGAGGCGGCCAGGTCAGCAGGCCACAAAGATGTGGAAGGTGCTACCCAGCGCGGTGAGTGCCTCGGAAGATGGGGCCCCATAGCTTTCGGACAAACCCCAGAGCTGTGTCCCCGCAGAGCTTGGGAGGACCTGAAGGGGACGGGCACCCAGGGCGGACGGACGGAGGGCCTCTTGGAAGATGGACAGAGGGCCACTGGGGGGCAGGAGATGGGTAGCAACAGATGCCTACCCAACATTAGAGAGAGAGAGAGAGAGAGAGAGAGAGAGAGAGAGAGAGAGAGAGAGAGAGAGAAGAGAGAGAGAAGAGAGAGAGAAAGCAAAAATGCTAACCCTGAGCCTTAACTTGCTATTCTAAGAGCAGCGCTGGCTTCCTCGATCTGCGATGGCTCAGTTTGGCTAGATCAGTGTTTCCCAAAGTGCGGTACACGTACCCACAGGGGTACGGAAAGGGTTTGGTGGGGGTACGCGTTGCACCGGAGTTTGGTGGGGATATGCACTACACCGTGCTTAGCTGTGCCTAATTCTACGTTCTCATGAGGACGAGGGGTACTCAGCGTTGCGAAAATTACAGAAGGGGTACACATGTGTCAAAAGTTTGGGAAACACTGGGTTAGAGCATCAGCCCATACACCAAAAGGCTGCAGGTTCGGTTTCCAGTCAGCTCACACACCAAGGTTGCAGCTTAGATCCCATACAGGAAGCAACTGATCAATGTTTCTCTCTCCCTCCCTCTCTCCCTCAAATCAATTAAAACACAGCCTTGAGTGAGAATTAAAAAATAAATAAAAGCAGGGCAGGCTTCCTGCAGAGATGGGTGGGTTCCTGCACCCCCATCAGGCTGGGAGGCGGGCTGGAGCCTGCACCCGCCCCTCCGGGCCTGGCTGTTCCTGCAAAACCCTGCTGCGTGCCCTCAGCTCAGGGGAGGACTCAGAGCTTCTGCTCTGGAGGCTCCGCTGCTGAGCCTCAGAGGGACTAGGGAGGGACGGGCAGCCCAGACCGACAGACGCCTGAACCCCAACACCGCGGCCGGAGAAGGTCATCGAAAATGCGTTTGCTGCCGAAACCAGTTTGGCTCAGCGGTAGAGCGTCAGCTGTGGACTGAGAGGTCCCGGGTTCGATTCCGGTCAAGGGCATGTACTTTGGTTGCAGGCACATCCCCGGTGGAGGGTGTGCAGGGGGCAGCTGGTCGACGTATCTCTCTCATCAACGTTTCTAGCTCTCCATCTCTCTCCCTTCCTCTCTGTGAAAAATCAATAAAATATATTAAAAATAGAAAAAAAAGAAAGAAAGGAAATGTGTTTGCTGAGGCTTCGCGGCGAGGCCATGGGCAAACACCTCCCCGGCTCCTGGACCTTCATTACAGCCTCCGAGTGAACTGCTGCTTGTTTAAGGGGTAACGAGCACCCCGGTAATCTGAGCCTCTTCCCAACGGCCCTCGCCCAGGCGCATGTCCAGGCATTCATTACGGGAATTGGGGCGCCTCGGACCCGAATGTGCGGCTCCCGGTGAGCGATCAGCGGCTGCCGGCTCCCAGCGCGGAATCCTGATGCGTCCATCAGGGCTAAGGAGGTGCCCGCCCCCTCTCGGCCCTCGCCTGCGGGAACGGGGGGTGATGGGGGGGGCGTACAGAGCCGCGGCTTCTGCCCGCAGGCCGGAGGCTGAGGGGGCGGGCGCCCTGCAGTCCTGGGGGCACTTCTCCCCTCACCTCCCCGCCGTCCACAGCCAGAAGGGGGCGGTCTCTGGACAGGGGGGCGTCCCCTACTGTAAGCAGGGCTTTCCCAAAATAGCTCCCTGGGCACTGTCGGGGAGGGGGGTCCAGACACTTCGAGGCTGGAGGTCTGGGGTGACCTGCCCACCCCCACAGCCAGACTTGATAGATCCTCCCTTCCCCCAACTGGTGGACAGAGAATGACGTAAACTGCACCTGCAGCCGGACATTCCTGCGCACCTGCCCGGGCCCTGACATGGACTGTGCATTGAACCGCCAGGCAGCACCTGCCCAATACCCTGAGCCCCTGATTCCTAGGTCCCTAGGCCCCTAATCACGGGCCGAGAGAGCGCCCTAAGCCCGTCCCTTCCCGTTCCTCCCCGCAAGGCGCCTTCACCCTGCCTGTGCACCCTTCCTTCGGGAGGCAGCCTGGCAGGTCCTGACTGACCTCGGGCACGTCACATGACCCCCCTCTGGAGAGGGGATGCTGGGAGGACGGAGGGGGTTTGCAGATGCAAAGAGTGCTCCCGTGAGCAGCCATGCGAATGTCTATGTGAGGGAACCGTCCCTGTGGCGGGCGCTACCTGCAGCCAAAGGCGGGCGTGCCTCCGTGGGTGCGTGGCCCGCAGCCCTGGGCGCATGGGCCTGTGTAGGCGGGGCCAGCCTCCGGGCAGAGCCTTAAGCTCCTGTCGCATTTGAAACCTTTAGAGATGCTGGCCCGGCGGGGCGGCCGGGGTTGGGGGTTGGGGGGCGGTTCCTGGGACAGGCCGGACCCTCTGTTCGTGAGCGAGGCCCCCGGCTAGTCTGGCTGGAGCCAAGGGAGCCCCCGTGGCCCTGAGGAGGGGTCTCCCCGAGGCAGACAGGGCGCAGGCGTCCGAGGGCTGGGCCACGCCGTGCCCTTCGGCCCTGAACCCGCCACTGCCCTCACGGTCCCCCGTCCAGGCATCGGCGCCAGAGCTAATGTCCCCGCCATGCAGGCCCAGCCGCGGTGGCCTCCAGGGGGAGGGACGGACACGGACAGAAACAGCTCCGGTGAGGGGTCGGGGTGCCCCAGTTACCCTCACACACACACACACACACACTCTGGGATGTGGGGGCGTTGCTCACAAGGGCAGCAGGGAGCCCACCGCCCTGCCCTGCCAGATGCTCAGAGAGGTCACGGATGGCAGGGGGGAGGCAGGGGCTGAGCAGCACCTACCGTGACACAGACACGCGGCGTCCGCCCCGCCCCAGGAGGTAAAAAGGCTTGGCCAGTCAGCAGGAGATCTCAAACCACTTCTCAGACACGAAGGCCACGGGGATGAGGTGCCGATCCGAGGAGGAGGGTCTGCGGAGGGGAAGGCGCGGGCTGGCACGGCTGGGCCAGGCCGACGGGGGGGCAGGCCCTTGCGTTTGCTGGACCCTCAGGGTCCCCCCACCCCGTCCGCAGCCCCGGGACCTCACTGCGCCCCGGAGCCGGAGGGAGGGCGGGCGGGCGGGAGCTCACCGGTTCCCGTTGAACGTGGACTTGTACTCGCCCACGGAGCGCAGCGTGTCGTCGGCGTAGGCGGGCACGGCGGCGCGCACGCACTCGTGGGAGCACTGCAGGCCCTCGCCGTAGGCTGTGAAGATGTCCAGGCTGCTGGGCACGCGCGGCGGCGGGAAGTCCGTCAGGTTCTGGCAGCTCTCCTCCTGCTGGGCCAGCTTCCGCGGCCGGCCGTTCCGCCGCGGGTTCCCGCTCTGCGCGCAGCTGGGGGCACACGGGGTGTGGGCCGGGGGCCGCGGGGCACCCCAGCCCCCGCCCCCGCCGTGGCTCCAGCGCTCGCCACCCCATCTCCACTGAGCGGTGACTCCCAGGCCCTCAGGAGATCAAGCGCCATCCAGCCATCGGCTCTTTTTTAAGAATAAAATTTGGATTTTAAACGTGTCCGATGTCACTCTCGCTGATCTGGCTCAGTGGGTAGAGCATCAGCCTGGGGGCTCAGGGGCCCTGAGTTTCATTTCTGGTCAGGGCACCGGCCAGGGCTGTGGGCTCAATCCCCAGTAGAGGGCATGCAGGAGGCAACTGATCAATGATCTCTCATCATGGATGTTTCTCTCTCTCTCCCTCTCCCTTCCTCTCTGACATAAAAAAAAAAAAATATTTTTTTTTCAATGTGTCTGATTTTGCAGGGAGGACTGGAGGTGAGGGTTGAGCCTTCGCTGACCCCTGTGCCCTCCTGTCTGCCTTCGCTGACCCCTGTCCGCCCCTGTCCGCCTTCGCTGCCCTGAAAACCAGCTTTCTAGCAACTTCCGCGTGTGGATGCGGGCCCTCCCCCCACAGCCCCGCGGTGTCTGCGGCCAGCAGGGGGCATTGGGGAGTCACCCGGAGGGAGCTGGTGCGGGAGGAGCAGGTTGGCGCGGGAGGGGCTGCGGGCGGGCGGACGGTCACCAGGGGGCAGGTGTGTGCGCAGCGAGGCCGGCCTCACAGCAGGCCGTTTCCCGGAGGACACAGGCAGGCAGGCCCGGGCACAGCGGTCACCGGACTCGCCGAGGCCGCGGGGGAGGGAGGCTGAGGAGGCTGGGCTGGCACCCGGCACCGGGCGCCCGGACAGCGAGGCCAGGGGGCCGGCGAGGCCAGCACAGCCGCTGCCCAGGCCGACGCGGGAAATGAAGGGGAGGGTGGGGCCAGGGTGAGACTCGGTGGCTGAGCATCACAGGATAAGCCAAGGCGGCTGGCGTCCGGGTCAGGCACCGCCGGGTGGAGGCTCGGTGCCGGAGGGGCGCGCAGGAGGCCGCTGATGGATGGCATTCCTCTCCTATCAGAGTTCCTCTCTTCCTCTCGCTCTCCTTTCCTCTCTCTAACCCTCTCTGACACCTGCACCCTGCGCGGGCACCCGAAGGCACCGGCTCCGGGGAAAAGGGTGCAGAGGTAGTGCCTGCTGCCTGGGCGGGTGCCGCTCTCAGCCAGCCTGCGGGATGGGCTGCGGGATGGGGGTGCGGGATGGGAGTGTGGGATGGGGGTGTGGGATGGGGGTGTGGGATGGGGTGTGGATGGGGTGTGGGATGGGGGGGTGGGATGGGGTGCGGGATGGGGGTGTGGGATGGGGGTGTGGGATGGGGTGTGGGATGGGGTGTGGGATGGGGGTGTGGGATGGGGTGTGGGATGGGGTGTGGGATGGGGTGTGGGATGGGGTGTGGGATGGGGGTGTGGGATGGGGTGTGGGATGGGGTGTGGGATGGGGGTGGGGGATGGGGGTGCGGGATGGGGCTGCGGGATGGGGGTGTGGGATGGGGTGTGGGATGGGGTGTGGGATGGGGTGTGGGATGGGCTGCGGGATGGGGGTGTGGGATGGGGTGTGGGATGGGGTGTGGGATGGGCTGCGGGATGGGGGGTGGGATGGGGGGTGGGATGGGGGGTGGGATGGGGTGTGGGATGGGGTGTGGGATGGGGGGTGGGATGGGGTGTGGGATGGGGTGTGGGATGGGAGTGTGGGATGGGGTGTGGGATGGGCTGCGGGATGGGGGTGTGGGATGGGGTGTGGGATGGGGTGTGGGATGGGGCTGCGGGGGGTGTGGGATGGGGTGTGGGATGGGGTGTGGGATGGGGTGTGGGATGGGGGGTGGGATGGGGGGTGGGATGGGGGGTGGGATGGGGTGTGGGATGGGGTGTGGGATGGGGGGTGGGATGGGGTGTGGGATGGGGTGTGGGATGGGGTGTGGGATGGGGTGTGGGATGGGCTGCGGGATGGGGGTGTGGGATGGGGTGTGGGATGGGGTGTGGGATGGGCTGCGGGATGGGGGGTGGGATGGGGGGTGGGATGGGGGGTGGGATGGGGTGTGGGATGGGGTGTGGGATGGGGGGTGGGATGGGGTGTGGGATGGGGTGTGGGATGGGAGTGTGGGATGGGGTGTGGGATGGGCTGCGGGATGGGGGTGTGGGATGGGGTGTGGGATGGGGTGTGGGATGGGGCTGCGGGGGGTGTGGGATGGGGTGTGGGATGGGGTGTGGGATGGGGTGTGGGATGGGGGGTGGGATGGGGGGTGGGATGGGGGGTGGGATGGGGTGTGGGATGGGGTGTGGGATGGGGGGTGGGATGGGGTGTGGGATGGGGTGTGGGATGGGGTGTGGGATGGGGTGTGGGATGGGCTGCGGGATGGGGGTGTGGGATGGGGTGTGGGATGGGGTGTGGGATGGGGCTGCGGGGGGTGTGGGATGGGGTGTGGGATGGGGTGTGGGATGGGGTGTGGGATGGGGGGTGGGATGGGGGGTGGGATGGGGGGTGGGATGGGGTGTGGGATGGGGTGTGGGATGGGGTGTGGGATGGGGGTGGGGGATGGGGGTGCGGGATGGGGCTGCGGGATGGGGGTGTGGGATGGGGTGTGGGATGGGGTGTGGGATGGGCTGCGGGATGGGGGTGTGGGATGGGGTGTGGGATGGGGTGTGGGATGGGGCTGCGGGGGGTGTGGGATGGGGTGTGGGATGGGGGTGTGGGATGGGGGTGGGGGATGGGGGTGCGGGATGGGGCTGCGGGGGGTGTGGGATGGGGTGTGGGATGGGGTGTGGGATGGGGCTGTGGGATGGGGGTGCGGGATGGGGGTGGGGGATGGGGTGGGGGATGGGGTGTGGGATGGGGGTGTGGATGGGAGTGTGGGATGGGGTGTGGGATGGGGTGTGGGATGGGGTGTGGGATGGGGGTGGGGGATGGGGGTGCGGGATGGGGCTGCGGGGGGTGTGGGATGGGGTGTGGGATGGGGTGTGGGATGGGGCTGTGGGATGGGGGTGTGGGATGGGGGTGTGGGATGGGGCTGCAGAATGAGGGGTTCTGGGGGGCCCGGGCCTGGCACAGAGAAACAGCCCCCGGGCTGAGGCCTGCCGCCAGTGGGAGAAGTAGGATGTTTTTGTGTGCACCCCCCCCCCCGGGACCCCGCACCTCCATTCCCAGAGGAGAGGGCCGGGACCCTTACCAGTTTTTTAAGACAAGAGTTGTGATCAGAGCAGCGATGACCATGATGAGGGAGACGGTGATGGTGACGATCTGATGGACAGCCAGCCCTGGGGCAGAGGGGAGGGGAGATGTGAGACAGGGTCGCGTGATGAAGGGGTCCAGCCGGGGGCACCGACCTGTCCTGTCCACCGGCCACCAGCGCCAGGTCCTGTCTGTGAGCGTCTGCCCGCGCCCGCAGGGGCCGCGGGGACGGCTGAGTGGGGGCCACACAGGCCCCAGGCCCCTCCCTCACCACACCCGGAGCCGGCAGGGGCCGTGGGCACCAGGGCTGCCCTCGCCCCGAGTCCGGAGGGGGGGCGAGCCCAGCCCCTCTCCTTCCCAGAGCCCCTCCAGTCCGTGGTGGTGGCCTGGCTGCCCCCCGCACCTGCCGAGCCCTCCCCTGGGCAGTGAGCCCGGGCTGGACCTTGGCCCAGGACCGCCACCCCCTCTCCCCGCCCCGGGGAAGTCCGGACCTGAGCCCTGGGGTGGCCTGCCCGTGGGGCAGACCCGAGGGACGCAGGAGGAACTGGGAGGCCCAAGACTTAGCAGGAAGAGGGGGGACAGCCGGGCAAGCTGGGGGCAGCTGGATCCTGGGAAACGCCTCCCGCTTTCCAGACTTCACTCCAGCAGGCGCACTGGCTGCTGGGGCGTCAGGGAACCAGAGGTCCCAGTGGGGGCTCTGGGGTCGCCCTGCTGTGTGTGCTGGGGGAGGGGGGGCCGACAGGGACAGAGAGACCGGCCCCTCCAGAGCCCCGGCCACGCGCCCCACCTGCAGATGCCAGAGGAGGGGAGTTCTGTCCTGTCCCTCTGCCCCCGCCCCCCTACCTCCCCCCCAGCGAGAACCTTACTCACCTGGCATCAGGTGATAGAGGCCCGAGGGGCAGTGAGAGCCTGCGGGTGTGGGCACACCCCCCACGGAGGTGCTGGTGGGCGCCCTTCCACCTGAGACCTGTGAGCCCGTCTCTCCCCCCGCCTGGCACCCAGTCCTGAGGTCCCTTAGCAGAGCCCCCCCTTCCCCGCACCCACCACACCCGGGAACCCGACCCAGCAGGCCCCGCGGGGAGGCCACGCGTGTGTGGTCCCGGGGGAGGGCGGCGGAATGCAAGATCTCTCTGGCGGCCTCCCAAGGTCACGGTCTCCCAGCAGATGTTACCTCCCCACTGGGCACCTGGGTACAGTCCTCGAGGGGATTGCTGGGAAATAACTCCGAGCTGGCATAACCGGGACACGACTCCCTCTCCCGCCGGCCCCTCTTCCGTCTGCCGGGGCGGTGCCTCCCCGGGCACCGAGAGGAAAGCTGGGCCTCCTTCCCTCCTCCTTCTGTGGCCCAGGAGCAGGAATGGAGCGCCTGTGGCCCCCGCAGTGCCAGCTCTCAGCCCCCAGCCGCGTGCCACCCTCCGGAGCAGCTGCCCGGGGCCCATTATTTATAGTGGCAGCTCTCACTGCCCTACACCAGTGCCCAATTTAGGCACATCTGTGAGACAGCTCGGCTCTGCCTCCGGGCCTGCCAAGTCCGCCTGCCAATTGGGCTAAGCTTTCTGCCATATGGACCACCCGCACCGCGGCAGCGATGGAGTGCCCACCGGCCCCCGTGATCCTGTCTGCTCACCAGTTCCCTTAGACTCGGGGAGACACGCTGGCAGAGGGGACTGAACAGGATGCCAGTTTAATGGACAAGCAGGGAGGATGGCAGCTCAGTCTCCCCTCACCCTCCAGCCACACACGCCCTCCAGCCCAATGGAGAGACCGCCACGCTGCCTTCCAAACTAGCAGCTCATCCTGTGTCTCTACTCCCTGTGGCGGGACAGACGCTCCTGATGATGGTGATGATGGTGACGATGGTGATTACGGTGATGATGATGGTGATGATGGTGATGATGGTGATGATGATGGTGATGGTGATGATGGTGATGGTGATGATGGTGATTACGGTGATGATGATGGTGATGGTGATGATGGTGATGGTGATGATGGTGATTACGGTGATGATGATGGTGATGATGGTGATTACGGTGATGATGATGGTGATGATGATGGTGATGGTGATGATGGTGATGGTGATGATGATGGTGATGGTGATGATGGTGATGGTGATGATGGTGATTACGGTGATGATGATGGTAATGGTGATGGTGATGGTGATGATGGTGATGGTGATGATGGTGATGGTGATGATGGTGATGATGGTGATGATGATGGTGATGATGATGGTGATGATGGTGGTGATGATGGTGATGATGGTGATGATGGTGATGATGATGGTGATGATGGTGATGATGATGGTGATGGTGATGATGGTGATTACGGTGATGATGATGGTAATGGTGATGGTGATGGCGGTAATGATGATTGTGATGACAGTGACAATAATTTTGGTGGAGATGATGATGGTGACGGTTGTGCTAACATTGGAGGGGATGATGGTGATGATGATGGTAAAGGTGGTGATGATGCTGGTGATGCTGGTGGTGGTGGTGATGGTGAAGGTGATGATGGTGGTGATGCTGGTGATGGTGGTGGTGGTGGTGATGATGATGGTGATGATGCTGGTGATGGTGGTGGTGGTGGTGGTGATGATGGTGAAGGTGGTAGTATTGATGATGATGATAGCGATGGTGGTGGTGATGGTGGTAATTTTGATGATGATGAAAGTGGTGACCAACTGGAGGTGATGATGCTGGTCCCAGGCCCGCTCAGTATGTGACTCACCCAGTAGGTGTGTGTTATACCATTTAACCTCGGCAGCCTCTCAAAGGCAAACACTGTCCTCCTACATGGAAGGGAAATGTCTGGGCAGGTCGGTGTGAATCCCTGGGCTCCCTTCGTGTCTCACAGTGCGTATGCTTCTGGGCGCAGACTTAATCTCAGCTTTGGCTTTCACCAAAACTGGCACTGCCTCCCCTACATTCCCGGGGCGGACGAGCTTCTGAATCATGAAGGCAAGTATTTCAGTCTCACCCCTTCCTCCAGCCTCTCCTCTTCCTCCAGCCTCACCCCCCCCCCCCGCCCACCCCGCAGCAGACCGCTCTGGAGTGCTCCAGGGCCAAAGCCCCTCAGCCATTGGCAGGTCACGGCCCAGCCCCATGGCAAGATCCGGGTCTGTTTCTGGGGCCGAACCCGCCCTCCTGGACGCCGATGGAGGTGGTGACACTGAGGGGAAGGAGCCCACAGGAGCTGGGGATGGGCTCAGGTATGAGGCGGGCCAGGCGGAGGCGCTGAGGGTCCCCTCACAGAGCAGAGCGCCCAGCATCCATCGCCAGGGGCCTCCCTTCCTGAGGAGGCCCAGGCGCGGCCAGATTTAGACCCTCAACTTGTCACCGGGGGACCGCTCTGCCGGGCGGAGTGTCTGCCGCAGCCACGTCCTCGGGAGGGAAGGTCCGGGAGCAGCTGCGCTGCAGTTGTTCAGTCCCCGCCATTCCCCCGTGGGCGAGGACCGGAAGCAGCCCGCCCCCCTCTGGCGGAGGCAGGAACCTGAGGTCCAGGTGGGATTGTTGGCTCCAGGGAAATCCTGCCCCCAACTCAGCACTAAGAACCGAAATCCATCGTTAGCCAGAGGCCCTTCCCTCCCCATCAGCTGGCTGTCTTCTGAGGTTTCCACTGTCAAGGTGATTTCAAAGGCAGCTACAGCCTCTACCTTATTTTTTTTAAATATTTTTTATTGATTTCAGAAAGGAAGGGAGAAGGAGAGAGATAGAGACATCCATGATGAGAGAGAATTATTGATGGGCTGCCTCCTGCATGCTCCACTCCGGGCTTTGAGCCCACAGCCCCAGGCCTGTGCCCTGACCGGGAATCAAACCGGGAATCAAACCGGGAATCAAACCGGGACCGCTAGGTTCATAGGTCGACGCTCACCCACTGAGCCGCCGAGGCCGGGCACAGCCTCCATCCACCGAGTGGGGCCAAACCACCCGCGCGGGCACTCGCCCACCTGCTGTCCCTGCGAAGCCGGCTGTGGGCAGAGCTGTCCCTGGGTGTGACCCTCTCCCTGGATGACCTGGTTAGACAGGAGTCCCGATCTTTGGAGACCGGAACTCGGGGGAGGTTCCAGCCAACCGCCTCAGGAGCATTCCAGCCGCGGCCGCTCCGCGTCCTCCATGGAGGCGGGAGGAAATGGCGTCTTTTGAAAGTCAGGAACGCTCAGCTCACAAGATGGCTGTGCGGAGGGACCTCACCCCACGGCCTGTGATGGGGACGCCCCGCCCCGTGATGGGGACGCCCCGCCCCACACAACTCCCAGCGTCCCTCCCTCCTCGCTCCTCGCTCTCCACTGCAAACCGTGTGCCCTCCGGTCAGGGCTCTGGGGGGATCCATCCTGCAGGGGGGACACCGGTCCCATAAACCCTCTGACCCTGGGCAGGGCGACCCCGGAGCGGACCCGGGCCCACGGCCAGGAGGGCTGGGTGCGGGAGACAATGAGGTCACCTTGAGAGCGTGTCCACTCTATGCCCCCAGGAGAGGAACCATACGGCTCTGCCCTCTCCCCCTTCAAGGTCAACATTCCCTCCGTCTCCCAAGTGTTTGCACTTCAGACCCGGTCCCTGGGCAGCCGCACGTCCCCGGGCGGGCTCCCGCTCCGCCTCCGACCGACAGGTGCTCCGTTCCCGCTAATCCAGGGCTCTGTGCTCCGGTAATTGCCACCGAATCCCAGTGTGCGGGAACCAGCTGCCCCCGGGCCATAAATCATGGGCCTGGGATGACGGGTAGGGCCAGAGGGGCTTTGAGGCTGTATTTGCGGGGTTTGTCATAAGACCGGGCCCCGAAGAGTGCGGGACGAGCCGTCCATCTCGGGGTCTGGACAGTGTTTGAGGCGACGCAGGGGATCCAACGTGGACCACAGTCCCCTGCAAAGGCCAACGCGCCCCGCGCCTCCTTGTCCAGCGCGGGGGACAGAGGGGAGAGGGGGCTTCTGGCAGGTGCCCTTGGGAAGGAAGGACCACGGCCCAAGCATCGGCTGAGGCAAAGGCCGGCGCTGCTGTGTCCAGGAGCTCACGCTCCTGTGCAGCCGCCGTGCGCCGGTGGTAGGGACGGTGACGGTGACCAGGGGCCGAAGGGTCAGGGACGGCTT